TATCTATCTATCTATCTATCTATCTATCTATCTATCTCTATCTATCTTATCTCTCTCTCTCTCTATCTATCATATCTCTCTCTCTCTCTCTCTCTCTCTCTCTCTATCTATCTATCTATCATCTACCTACCTACCTACCTACCTACCTACCGTCTGCTTGCCTGCCGGCCTGCCTATCTACAGTATCTATCTATCTATCTATCTATCTATCTATCTATCTATCTATCTATCTATCTATCTATCTATCCTGTTTCCCCCAAAATAAGACATCCCCTTATAATAAGCCCAATTGGGCTTTTGAGCACATGGCAATAAGGCCAAGCACTTATTTCAGGGTTCATAAAAATATAAGACAGGGTCTTATTTTTGGGGAAACACAGTATCATCTATCTGTCTGTCTGTCTGTCTGTCTGTCTGTCTGCCTGCCTGCCTGCCTGCCTGCCTGCCTGCCTGCCTATCTATCTATCTATCTATCTATCTATCTATCTATCTATCTATCTATCTATCTATCTATCCTGTTTTCCCCAAAATAAGACATCCCCTGATAATAAGCCCAGTCAGGCTTTTGAGTGCATGGCACTTATTTTAGGGTTCATAAAAATATAAGACAGGGTCTTATTTTTGGGGAAACACAGTACCATCTATCTATCTATCTACCGCCTGCCTATCTATCTATCTATCTATCTATCTATCTATCTATCCTGTTTTCCCCAAAATAAGACATCCCCTGATAATAAGCCCAGTCAGGCTTTTGAGTGCATGGCACTTATTTTAGGGTTCATAAAAATATAAGACAGGGTCTTATTTTTGGGGAAACACAGTACCATCTATCTATCTATCTACCGCCTGCCTATCTATCTATCTATCTATCTATCTATCTATCTATCTATCTATCTTTCTATCCTGTTTCCCCCAAAATAAGACGTCCCCTGATAATAAGCCCAATCGGGCTTTTGAGCGCATGGCAATAAGGCCAAGCATTTATTTCAGGGTTCATAAAAATATAAGACAGGGTCTTATTTTTGGGGAAACACGGTATCATCTATCTATCTATCTATCTATCTATCTATCTATCTATCTATCTATCTATCTATCTATCTATCTATCTATCTATCTACCTACCTACCTACCTACCTACCTACCTACCTACCTACCTACCATGTCTGTCTGTCTGTCTGTCATCTATCTCTATAATAATTCTTAGGCTGTGGAATAAGGTTTGACGCGAACCTAAATCACCATCATTCGCTAAGCATTTTTCACGACCGATTCGAGATGTTTTCCCCAGACGACTGAAAAAGCGCACCGCTATGTGAGAGCACAATGAAAGACTCAGGATAGACAAAGCCGCGTGCACAAAATTGTGTGCCCCATTGTTGACACCCGTCCACACCGTTCCCTTTTCCAAACGACCGAACAACTGGAAAAAAAGAAATCAACCTTTGAGGATTGGCGCCGTTCTCCGTTTTGAATTTCTTCCGGGGAAGGAAAAAAGTTTCGAGCAAACGTCGGGGGCTGTTTCTCCCGCAACTAGAAAACTGATTTTGCCCAGTTTTTAAGAGCGTTAATTACAACTGCGATAAGGCTGGTAACGAGGGAGCCAAAAAGAAAAAAGAAAAAGAAAAGGAGGAGAGAGGGAGGTTGACACGGATGGTTTCATTCTGCCACCCGTTGCTTGGTTTGGTCCAAGTGTCTAAGTGTATAATAAGCATTTAAAATTAAGTCTTGCCAGTCAGGCAGGGAGGGGTGAAATAAGGAGAGAGAGAGAGAGAGAAAAAAAAAGAGAGGGAGATTTGGAAAGGAGGAGGGGGGGGTTAAACAGTGAAGAATGAAGGGGGTGGCAGCGAAGATGCAAATCACTGCTGGAAAAGAAAATTATGTGCAATTACTCCAGAAAACGGGCAGCTCTGCCCATTTCAGCCAACAAGATCTCATTAATAAGCAGAAAATAAGATTGAAATGGTATGTGAAAGGAGTGGAAAAATGAATTTGAATGCCGCATTTGTCCACAATTACCCCCGCGTTCACACATATTTTATTGCCATTTTTTTTTATTATTCTTAATCTTTCCATCCCTCAAAGCAGATTGGGAACATCGCAGCATTATGGCGACACAAGGAGGAAGAGGCATTAGAGACCCCGGCGCGCTCGCCAATTTGCAAAAAAAAGAAAAAAAGAAAAAAAGAAAGGCCGGGGCTGAGGAAGATCACCATTTGTGGCTCTGCCAGCTTAGCGCCGTGTAGGTACAAGACTTTTGCAAAAAAGAGAGAGAGAGAGAGACAGAAAAAAAGAAACGCAAAACTCACACTGGCAACCTTTGGGTGCAGGGCTCAAAAGAAAGAGAGAAAATGAAGTTGACACAGAGAGAGACCTGCTGTTGGCTGGCAGGTTTTCGGGGAGATGGTTCAGCCGTCCAATTTAGGAAGGGGTCAAAAGACACCCAGGAGGTCTGTGACGGAACAACTGCCCCGTCACAGCCTGAGAGAGATGCTAATTGCAACAGGCGGATGCCAAAAGAAACTTTTTCAAATTTCTCACCGTCTCGCCGAAAGAGTTCTGTGAAACCTAGAAGCTGGCCTTCAAGCAAGGCTGAAAGAAAACAACCAGCTTGGAGGCCATTTTGCTGTGGATAAAAAAAAAAACCCGCCTTCGTCCCTGGTGGATGGACTTTTCACGCCATCTTTTATTTTGGATAAATGATTAGACAGAATCTTTTTTTTTTTTTTCTCTCCGAAAAGATTAATCTCCTAATTTCCTATCAGGCCTTTCTAAAACCCCAACCATGTTTAAAGGTGATCAATGCTGAAAGTAGTTTGGTGTGAGCGCGAATACAAGTTTTAATTTAGTTTCTCCTCTTGCGAAGAGAACATTGCAGATGTAATCTATTTCCCCCCACGCTTTTTACGAATTTTCAAAACGAACCTACTTCGCCGAGGGTGTAATACAAAATTGTAAAAGGAATGCAAAATTGTTTTCCCTTTCTCCCAATTTTGCAGGTTGAATCCGAAGCTCCTTATGCTCTCCCTGTGTTTTTGGAATTATTCTGGGTTTTTTTTCCCCCCCTCCTAAGTGGAAAATTGGCAGAACTACCCTGTTTCCCCCAAAATAAGACATTTCCTGATAATAAGCCCAATCGGGCTCTTGAGCGCATGGCAATAAGGTCAAATGCTTATTTCAGGGTTCAAAAAAATAGAAGACAGGGTCTTTTTTTCGGAGAAACACGGTAGATTAAAATATTATTTTTCTTACTGGCTAATTGGGTTGAAAAAGGATCTCCTCTGCCTTGCAAAACAGCTTCCGGGTGTCCGAAATCAGTCAACTAAATTTATCGTTTCCTATTTGGGGTTCTATTTGATTGCTCAACCCTCACTTCTGTCTTTCTGACTTTCCTCAACCGGCCTCTGAGCATGTACAGAATGTCTTCCCCTCGCTAGAACTCTCATCATTAGGAAATTCTTGATTTTGCACATTAAGGAAGATCTTTGACTTTTCCAAATTAAGCCTTGCAGGAGAGAAAAGTTATAAAACAAACAAAATATGGATAAACAGTTTGTACCCACACATTCACGGTTTCACAGTCCCCTCCCTCTCGTATCCAAAGCAGTGCCTAAATTTTGGAGCCCTCCCCCAATTATTTTTATGTACGATGAAATTTCCTTTATTCCTCTTTCTGTAGATCTGCACTATCCCTTCGGATGGAAACGGAGCTTCAAAAAGCAATAAACTAAGAAGGTGTGCTTTTCCAGTTTGCAAATCAGCAAAATAAACAAGTTACGACCCCTTTCCCTTAGAACGACCAAAGTGAGAATATCTTTAAATCCGTTACAAGACCATGCAGTAAAATCAGAATAATGTCAGAGGAACACATCAAAAGAAGAGACACGTTCGGTGCAGTGAATTTTTTTATTTCTCTCTCTCGCTCTCAGAAATCTTTTTCTCCGCTGCTGATCGGGGACCAAACTTTACTGCTCTGTCGATAAACTAAGTGTCTTAAAAACCGTGTGCAGGAGAAAAAGGGGGGATTTAGCCCCGTCTCCAGATCTGAATTTTTCTCATGCCGCGCTCAAAACACCAAGCAATAAACTTAAATGATGTGTGAGGTAAACCGTTTGGATCTTCAGAGTGAGCGGCTGAGATTTGTTGACATGGGGACAAAGCAGTGGATGGATTTAAAAAAAAAAAATTCTACCTTTGATGGCTCCGTCAAAGTGGGCCAGAATGGGGTAGGGGGAATCCCCCAAAAGAGGCAGGAATCCACAGCTTCTCCTCAAGCTGTGGACCCCATTTTCCGGACAAAATTCAAATAACAGCATTTTTCAAATCCCAACTAAAAGCTTGCGAGTCACGGAAAATTAAAATAGCAGTGTAGGGATACAGGGAGCAGGGGTGAAATGCTACCGGTTTGCTCTGGTTCGGAGTGGCGGCCGCATGTGGTTCGGCAAACTGGTAGCGGCGGCAGCGCGAGGCTCCGCCCACTCACCCGGACATCGTCACTTCCTGGTTTTAACTAGGAAGTAACCTGTTTTTGATCCTCTGCACATGCGCAGAAGGATTTGCCCATGCGCAGAGGGTCTAAAATCGGACGTGAAGATGGCACGCGCACTTCCGAACCGGTAGGGAAGGTAAGCAGATTTCACCCCTGACGGGGAGGATTTTTGAAGATAAGCAATTTCGGCCCAACGTCAGGGCAAATTTTATTTTAGCAAAATCTGAGGGGAAAAACTGAGCCCCCGTTGAGGGGTGCTGGGGGGTGCTGATACAAGGAGGAAACCACAGATGATGTAGATGAACAAATAACGATTTTCTAAGCTCTTTGTAGAGCGTGATGCCTTGTCAATCTTTCGTTGGCGGGCAAGAATGTGATATACCTGAGAAGCAGTAAGCTACCCCAGTTGCGGACCTCTGATTCCCACAGCGTCCCACCCGAGGGACCATCACTCTTCCATGGGACTCCGCCGCCCCCGTTTGTTTTTTTTTTGGCAAACGTAAGAATGACTTACTTGTGGAGACAGGCCGTTACTAACGGGATTCATGTGGTTGGTTGGAGCGGTGGGGTTCATGAAGCTGTCCGAGTAGCTGGAGAAACTGTGCCGGGCCCCGTAGGCAGAGCTGGAGTCGGGGGTGGCTGCCGACAGGCCCCCCTGGTGCATGGTGGACGGTGGGAGAGGCTGGGGCCGGTGCACGGTGCTGCCTCCGTCTGCGGGGGGAAAGAAGGAGCCGTGAGAAAGAGCTGCCTGCAGTCAAACCGTTTCCCTTGGAGAGCTGACTGAGAAGACGCTGGAGGAGGACTGGATGGGAGACCACCAGGATTGGATGGGAGACCACGAGGAAAGGGATAAGGAGACCAACAGGACGGGAGGCCAGCTTGAGAAGTCAATGACACTGACGATTCAGAAGGGAAGGTGCATTTCCTTTGAGAGCTGACTGAGATGAAGTAAGGAGAACTGGAAAGGAGACCACCAGGAAAGGGATAGGGGACCACCAGGACAGAAGGCTAGCGCGAGAAGTCAATGACAGTAACAATTCAGAAGGGAACATGTATTTCCTTGAGGAGTTGAAGGGAAAGAAGTAAGGAGAACTGGAAAGGAGACCACCAGGAAAGGGATAGGAGACTTCTCAGGCTAGCTTGAAAGGAGACCACCAGGAAAGGGAAAGGAGACCACCAGGAAAGGGATAGGAGACCACCAGGACAGAAGGCTAGCGCGAGAAGTCAATAACACTAATGATTCAGAAGGGAACGTGCATTTCCTTTGAGAACTGACTGAAATGAAGTAAGGAGAACTGGAAAGGAGACCACCAGGAAAGGGATAGGAGACCACCAGGATGGCACCCTAGCTTGTGAAGTCAACAACACTAAGCAATCCAGAAAGGAACTGCAATGCATTTTTGTGTAAACCCCATACAATTGTCTGAAGGCACAAATGACCAACAGATCGGAGGCCATCCCTCACTTCCTTGGACCCCCAAGTGTCATTAAGGACCTCATCCTGAACTTTGCACAAAGTTTGAGGAGGTGAAACACCAGCCTCCGCACGAGGGAAGAGTGCAGCCGATATTCCTCGACCTGGTTCTGCTTTCAGACGCGTGCGGACTTCCGCTCCCAGAATGCCCCAGCCAGCATGGGAGTTTCAGCTTCACACAAGATGGTTGAGTGGCTTTGCACTGCTCAACCCAATCCAACCCACATTGCAGGGCTACCATGGTGCAGGAGGCCAACTAGGCCACGCCCACCCTGGCCACGCCCACCCAGCAACCGGGCGGAGAACCCCTTGCTAAAATTTTTGAAGCCCGCCCCTGTGCAATGGCATGTGAGAAAGATGTTGGAAGAAGGGGCGAAGATGATTAAGGGATGATTAGATAAGAGGCAGCCTAGCCCTCAGCTGCATAACAGGTGGGGAAAGAGATTGAATAACGGGAAACTCTGTCACATTTCAGACCCATGTTTGTCTCATCTCAACCGTTCGTGTTTCCGGTCGGGCCTACCTGGGAAGACTCAGGGGAGCTCACCTTGGGAGAGAGTGGTGGTCGGATACGTCGAATCGGGCAGCTGGTAGGGTGGCAACGTTGGCATGCCGGTTGGGGGGAAGCCACCGGGCAGAAGGTGATTGAAAGCGGCCAGTTGGTTGGCCCCGGCCTGCTTGCGCCAACGGGCTCTTCGGTTGCTGAACCACACCTGGGGGGGAGAAAGAGGCGGAGCCTGTTACGGGCTACGCACACCTTGACGGCATCTGATACATCACCAATAGAGGAAAGAAGGAAAGAAAGAAAGGCATCTTCTAGCACGGGACTACAACTCCCAGAATCCTCAGGGAGGCAGAGAATCATGGGAACTGAAGTCCAGCAAGGGCACCAGATAAGGAACAAGTGAGCTGTTGGTAGAAACATGGAAAGCAGTAACGGAGAACTGGTCCGAACCGGCTGAATGCTACCTCTGCTACCTTCTGAGGCAATATTTCTCAAGCTTGGCAACTTTAAGACACGTGGACTTCACCTCCCAGAATTCCCATTTGGATTTCAACCCCAGAATTCTGGGAGTTGAAATCCACATGGGAATTCTGGGAGGTGAAGTCTGCGTGGGAATTCTGAGAGGTAAAGTCCGCATGGGAATTTTGGAAGTTGAAATCCACATGGGAATTTTGGGAGTTGAAATCCACATGGGAATTCTGGGAGTTGAATTCCGCGTGGGAATTCTGAGAGTTGAATTCCGCGTGGGAATTCTGGGAGTTGAAGTCCGCATGGGAATTCTGGGAGTTGAAATCCTCATAGGAATTCTGGGAGTTGAAGTCCGCGTGGGAATTCTGGGAGTTGAAGTCCGCGTGGGAATTCTGGGAGTTGAAGTCCACATGTCTTAAAGTAACCGATGTTGAGAAACACTGTTTTAAAGGACAATCAACAACTTTTCCCCCACATTTGTATAGTGATTTTTTAATAAAATATTACCGTGTTTACCCAAAAATAAGACCGGTTTTTATATTAATTTTTGCTCCAAAAGATGAATGAGGGCTTATTTTCTGGTTAGGTCTTATTTTTGGGGCGGAATATGGTACTAAATGCATCCATCTGGCTGACAATCTTAACTGGGGCTTATTTTGGGGGTAGGGTTTATATTACGAGCATCCTGAAAAATCATGCTAGGGCTTATTTTCCAGTTGGGTCTTATTTTCGGAGAAACAGGGTAAATACACAATCCGTACGCAAAGACGACGTGCCATTTCTCTGCATGAATGTTGCCACCTTTTTATTGGAATCTAGGCTGGTTCCGCGCAACCACAATCTATAAGGGAAGCCTTAATTTTTATTTTTTTTTTCAAAAATGGTCAGCCATAAATTCACACAGGTTGGAGAGGAGGGAGGATGGGTGGGTGGGAAACGGGAGAAACAATCGGCAAGTTTTAGCTTTTAGGAGCGTCGGCATTGCAGCTGCTTAATATCTCCGAGGCCCTCACAGGATGAGCAACGTGATTAAATTTCAGAGCAACTGGAATTTTTTAGGGGGAGAAAAAATAAACAGGAAAAAAGAAAGAAATGCGTACTCCAGGAATTGGGAAGTGAGAGAAATTGCTGAGTTGGAGGGGTAGGGGGGTGGGACTGTCACATAAAATATTTTCTGAAAACACCCCACCTCTCTTTGTTTTGCTGAAAGGAGAATTGTTAAGCCAAAGAACGCACAATATATATATATTTACCCCTTAACAGCTAGAGCTTGGGGTTTGAAGACACCAATCTCGTCCATTAGCTCAGGATGCTAGATATTTCCTTCCCCAAATTTTCCCTGGCAAAGGTTTTTGATGGATTAGATTGGGGGGAGGGGGGTGGGGGTCTTCCTTTTTTCTTTTTTTTTTGGGCTGACATGTAACGGACAAGCCAGGTGCAATGCGGATGATGAAGCTCATCGTATCTGTAGTGGCTTCGGTGGTGGATGGAGAATGATGGCATTAATATATATTCTTACTTCTTCGTGGGATTTATGATTTATGTGTTTTTCCTCTAGCCAGGTTTTTCCTACGTAACCAAGGTTTTTCTGCCTTTAGATATTGTACCTTTACAGGGAGGATACATGAGATGTGGGTGTGGCTTACTGATGATGGCTAACGAGCCAGGAATAGATCTATATAAGTCTCTCACCAGGCAGCAAGAGCTTGCTGGCTGCCAGAAAGAAAAAAAGCCCAGAATCGAGTGGATGTGATTCTACTGAGCTAGGGCTGCAGAAAAACCTTGGTTACGTAGGAAAAATCTGGCTAGAGGAAAAACATATATATAATCAAGAAAAATCAACTATGGCTATACAAACATCTTGATTTACGTAGGAAAAACCCTGGCTAAAACAGTAATGCACATATAGACCTACGAAATAAAAGTACAAAATAAATATTTGACCGTTACAGGAAGGAGTCATAAAATGAGGGTGTGGCTAGCCGATGAAGCCAAATAAGGCAGAAATAGATCTATTCTAGTCTCCCTTAAGTCTTGCAGCAGACAACATAATGCTGCTTAAATGTCTGATAAAGCCTAGAAAATAGTGATTTGAGATGTCACTTAACTATGGCTATACAAACATATTGATTTACGTAGGAAAAACTCTGGCTAAAACAGTAATACACACACACACACACACACACACACACACACACACACACACGTAAAAAGTTAAAATCTCGGGTGTTTTCCCACGTCATTTAAAAGTCTGTTAGTTAAAATGCTTAAAATCCTGGCTAAGGTCTCAGCTCAAAATCCTCCAAAATCCCAACAAAACACTTTGCAAGGTCTTTTAAAACTCTGGCTAAAATCCTAACCAACACTTTAAAGGTTTGGCAACGTTTCAACAAGCTCTCTACCTTGTCATCTTCTGGCCTTTAGAAGTTGTGGGTCCTGCTTCATTATCCTAGCTGCAGCCTGACTGCGTGTTAAAGGCCCAGCTTTCTCTGGTTCCCTATTACTAACTGTCAACTGCAAAGAGGTAAGAATTCTAGTAGGTATCACAGCACCACTGGTTGCCTGTTGGGATCTCAGCATATCTTCTGGTTCGGTTCTTTCTCTCTCTCTCCCTATTGCTAGCTATCATGTGCAAAGAGGAAAGGATTCTGGCAGGTATTACAACACCTCTGGTTGCCTGTTGGGATCTCTGCCTCTCTTCTGATGTTAAAACTCGAGTTTCCCTCAGTGCAGGTCCCCAAATACTTGATAACCTAGAAGCGTCGTCTCGTCTGTTCATATTCTGCGGCCTCTTTTCAATTTCGATGGCCTCCCTAGTTATTCTCATAGTAAGATGTTCCTCTTTCACCACTGTTCTAGTATTGTTGAAGTCGATCTTATGTCCCGTGGCATTCATGTGTTGTACCAAGGAAGAAGTTTGCTCTTCTTTTTTTTACTGCGTTTTTGTGTTCTTCTAAACGCACACCTATTCGTCTATTTGTCTGTCCAGTGTATGTGTCAGCATTTTAATGCTGCCATAAAGAGGAGAAGAAGAGGCTTGACTTTTCACCTACTTATTTTCTCTGTAGATAATATCCCCTAGGAGATGGGATGGGAGGGGGACATTCCTGGGGTTGAAGGCAGGAGCTGGGAAGACTGACTTGGAAGATGGCCAATGAGAAGATGAGAATTGGGGAACAGAAAGGGAAGGGTTTGGGTTCAGAGGGTTAGTATCGGCTACGATGAGTCGGGGCCAGATCTGTCGTACTCAATAAATGGAATATCTCAGCAAAGATTAATTGTTTGGGAGTGCAATTTATTTGACAGGACATCGAAACCTGACAGTAAGATGACTGACAGGAGGCACATGGCACTTCGTATACCCCTTGATTTTCCAGCCCAATTTTATCCTTGGGCATATATATATATATGCCTGCTATCTGAGATTCTGAGTATCTGGGTATAGTCTGCTGCTTCCCACACTCCGGGAAGGAGTTATTGGTCTTTATATGAGCGCGCCCGGCTTCTCCTTTCCCCACCTAAACTGGCAGAGTCAAAAAAAAAACTTCAACCCCCCCCGGCAAAAAATCGGGCACAAGAAGCTTTCCAAATCAAATTAGGTATACAAAATACAGAAAAAAACAGAGTTGGAAGGGACCTTGGAGGTCTTCTAGTCCAACCCCCTGCTCGAACATATACTATTTTGGATAAATGACTGCCTAATCTTGGTTTAAAAACCTGAGATTACGTTAAAAATACTGGGATTAGAGCCTCCCTATTCAGGTAGAGTATACCTGAACACCAGCTGTTGGTGGGGGGTGAAGTTCAGGAAGCCATTATCTTCCTCCGGATGGGTATGCTAAAAAAAATATATTGGCACAGCCGCTATCCTCAACGCTGCATCTTCAAATTCATGTATTATACACGAGGGAGTCCTCGTTTAACGGCTGCCCCGTTTAGCAATCGTTCGAAGTGATGACGATGCTCGGAAAAGGAACTTGGTGTCAGCCTTGGCGCATGTCACAGCCCGCCTCCAACAATGGAGAAACCGGCAGTGAAATTGCAAGCCACGGCCACACGATGTCTCGCTTAATGACCGCGCCACTTAGCGTCGGGGGTTGCTGGCCCCAACTGTGGTCATTCAGCGAGGATTCCCTACAGAATTTAAGAATAAAAATCGGTGCCTACTATCCTGTCACCAGGGGAAGGAGGTCGAGCTAAAGAAGAGGAGGAAGTTGAACGAAATTAGGAGCGTTCTTGGCTCCTTCCTTGCCCTCAAAGTTCCACTGCTCCTGTCTATGGAGGCTCCACCTGGCATATCACGACCCTTATCCATCCTTCGAAGGACCTGTCTCTCAGGAATGTAAAGCAGTATGTAGATCCATGATGGCAGACACGCATGCCAGAAGTGGCAGGCAGAGCCATTTCTCCAGGCACACCCACCGTCGTCCATTGCTCTTCCGAGTTCCAGTGCGCGCCAGCCAGCTGGTCTTTGCGCGCATGGGAGTGCCGAAAACCGGAAGAGCAGCTTCCTGGTGCATATGCACGTGCCGGGAAGCTGAGCTTCTGGTTTTCGGTGCTCCCGCACGCATGAAGACTAGATGGTCTTCGTATGTGCATGCACACCAGAAACCGGGAGACCAGGTGACCGGCGTGCATGTGCGCGCCGGAAACCAGAAACTGAGCTTCCTGGCGCGTGCATGCTCTTCGGTTTCTCGCACTGCCGGGGAGCTGCTCCTTCGTTTTCCCGGACTCCCCCCA